GAATTCCTCAGGGTGCTCTGGTCCCAACCAAATGGCTAAATATCAACTTTAATATAAACGACCCTGGGAGTAAGTATATATATATATATATATATATATATATATATATATATATAATATTTTTTATGAATTGTTATTATTCTTTTTATTTTTGGCGATAATAGAAATTATAAAACATGTTTTAGAATTTTACAATGAGCCTAAATGCTTTTAATGTGTTATTTACCATTACAGTTGTTCATATCTAATGCATTAATATTTATAAATGTATTATTATGTCATTGATATTTATTACTAATATTAAAAGTCTATTATATATTAAGAGGTAATTGTTTCTCCTTTATATTAGGGCTGCACAATTTATCATTTCAGCATCGATATCGCAATGTGTGCATCTGCAATAGTCACATTGCAAAGATGAGCAATGTTGAGTCTGGATTAAAGTCAAGGAGGAGAAACAAAATTTTATTTATTTACTGAATTTATATGGAATTAATATGATATATGCAAAAAAAAAAAAGTGAATTTCAGTCTTGTTTGTTGTCTTGTTTTGTACTGTACCTCACTGGCAGATATTTTTGCTTGCTTTAATAAAAAAAAAAAATTTCAATTATATAAAAAAACAATATTTTTAATTGATCTAAGATTTTAATGATATTGAGACTGGAAACGAGACATGGTGAGAAAAGCATTGTTTGCATCGTGATTATTAATTTTCTGTACCTCATTGAACTTTAGGCATGGGACGATTACTGTTTTTAAGGTATACCGCAGTTTGGAAGATTTTAAAACCACCAAAATTTTCTATAATACTGTTCCTATATAGTGTGTACGTTTTTTTCTTTTTTTTTTTTTCTTTTTTAGGACCACAGTATCACCAGCAGAAAAGATCTTTCAAATATGTCGTTTTAAATTGTAAATAAATCTGTTTTTGAAACTATTGCATAAAGCAGAAGTCAATGATTGATTTCAATTATTCAGCCTGACATGTTTACTGCTCCAAAATATTTAAAATGTTACTCAAAATAAAATATATATTGTGTTCAAAGAGGAAACAAATTTTAGTTTTTTACCCAGACATTTAAAAAGAACATATTTTAGAGCAGTAATCACTGTGAAACCATGATATTTTTATCCAAGGTTATCATACCATTAGAATAATACTGTCCCATGCCTATTGGACTCCCCAGAAAACCATCAAAAAGAGCTATTTAAACTATCTTGTGAAACTGTATTAATATCACAAAATTTATTGCAGAAAAATAACATTTCTCAAAATTATTTTTTTCCAATATTGTGCAGCCCTACTTTGTATTATGTTAATAATGTGTTACTATGTATAATAAACCATATTATAAATATAATTATCAATAAACTTAAATAACAGATCTGTTAGTTTATACCTAATGTTTTAAGTAATGTTAATTTACAACTTTAACGTCTCTATAAGTACAAGAAATACTGTGCTTGTATCTGTTCAGGATTTAAAAGTCATGCAGAGTTTGTGCTTTAAACTCGTTTAAACATAAAGAAATTAATTTCGTAGAAAGAGATGAGCCAACATGTACTATCATAATAGATGGTACACATACAGTAGCTTCATTAAGCATTCACTGAAGCCAGAACACAAGTGAACTCTCTTAAATAACTGATGCATTGCTATGTAGGTTTGAGTTTATGAGGTCTTCAGTGATTAACTTAATCCCACAGCCTAATTCCAGACTGTAACAGAGTAGATCCAAAATCTAAACATAGAACCTTAAATGAACTAATCAGTAAACACAGCTTCAGATGATCAAATATTTAAACCTCATGAGCCTTTAAAGGCCTTGATAACACAAACCAAATGATAGTTTATCGCAATATTTTTTGGAAAACTTAAAGGGATTGTTCACTTAAAAAAAATGCAATCCCAAATATAATAAAGTGGTTTTATATTATTGAATTTTCCTTTTTTTCCCTGTTGAACACAAAAGAAGATATTTGGCAGAATGTCACAAACCTGTAATCCTCGACTTCCATGGTAGGAAAAACAACTACCATTTTGGTTAATGGTTACAGGCTTCAAACAATTTTCAAAACAACTTCCTTTGTGCTCAACCAAATAGCCTCAATCAGATTTGTGAGGGTGAGTAAATGATTAGCCTTTTTGTTATTGGGTGAATTATCCCTTTAAGATTTTTCTGAATAAAAACTGTAATCCAAGCCAACATGGCTTCCTGCCCTGAATTTGAGCAATTGGAGGCTTATTCATCACTACTTTGCAGGCCTACAGTTAAGCTAATAAGATAACATTAATCATGTACAGGCCCGTATCCAGGGGGGTTCGGGTGGTTTGAAAGACCCAGCCCTTAATGACAAAAATCCAGAATTTGTCCCATACAAGAGCTCATTTGTCCTATTTTAGCTGCTACACCATCATAAATTGTTAAAATAACCCAGTGGAATATCTAATTGTTAATTATTAATTCCTCAAATTCAACTCAGAGCTTTTTTGGCCAGGAGGCCTGGGTTAAACACTACTCTTTTGCGAAGAACATCCTGGGATTCTTTAACAACCAAAGAGAGTCAGGACCTCAGTTTAACATCTCATCCGAAAGACGGCGCTCACTGAGCAGTATAGAGTCTCAGTCACTATACTGGGGCATTAGGACCCACACAGACCACATGTTGGGCGCACCCTGCTGGTCTCACTAACTCAACTTCCGGCATCAACCTTTCCCATGTGGTCTCCCATTCAGTGCACTGACCAGGCTCAGCCCTGCTTAGCGGACAACCATGTGAGAGTTGCAGAGAGCTAGCTGCCAGCTAATCAGTTTTGGCTTATGCAAACTATTCTTTTTCATGATTCCAACATCCAGCAGTGCAAGAAAACATATAATTGAATGTAAGTGAAGTAATCTTTCGCTATTGTATTGTTTTTTAAAAGAGAAAACATTTTACAAGTAAATTTTATTCTACGTCTTGGACCTATTCTTGAAACGAAAAATGACTGATAAAAGGTGTGAAGCACCGGAAGCGGACCATGATCAAATTAATATAATATGAATACTAATTTGGCTGTTTTTGTTATCCAAGAATTTTCATTCAAATGTAGTTTTTTTTTTTAAAAGAGAGGCTAGAAAAAGCATGAAGCTCCTTTATTATTATTATTAAGTTTACATTTTTTATTATAAAAATAGCCAAATTCTGACCAGGAAAAAGTTGAATGTGCTGGCCAGTTTGTTTTTTGCCTAATATATTATTCATATATTTTTCTAATGATATATAAAATTTGCAATTTAAAAATAAGTTATTTATTTTTCTCTATTCTAAATCTTTAAAAAATATTTTGGTACATGGTGGCGCATGGTGGTGCAGTGCAAAGCATGATCGCCTCACAGCAAGAAGGTCGCTGATTCATGCCAGTGAATCAGTTGGCATTTCTGTGCGGAGTTTGCATGTTCTCCCCATGTTCCCCATGGGTTTCATCTGGGTGCTCCGGTTTCCCCCACAGTCCAAAGACATGCCTATAATAAACGCGGACATGACTAAAGATGTGCGCTATAGGTGAATTGAATCAGCTAAATTGGCCGTAGTGTATGTGTGTGAATGCAAGGGTGTATGGGTGTTTCCCAGTGTTGGGTTGCGGCTGGAAGGGTATCCGCTGCGTAAAACATATGCTGGCTAAGTTGGCGGTTCATTCTGCTGTGGCGACCCCTGAATAATAAAGGGACTAAGCCGACAGGAAAATGAAAGAACTGTGGTTATGATGACCACTCAACAAGCTAATTCAGCTAAAAAGAAAAGGTCACTAAAATGCAGTATTCCAATCGCATAATTAAACAGAAAATGAGGCATATAACTGCAAAAAGGTCCATATTTTTAGTTATATGAACCACCTCTTTCACCAGGTTTGCTACAGGCCAGTGATATTTTATGTGCGTTCGCTGAGAAGCTGGACAGTAAACGGTTTATATGAGCATGTAATTGATCTGCGATTACAAATTCATTCTGCAACTCTCGCAAAATGGCGTCCAGGAGCACAGTGAGCTGCTGTCATCATATCTCCGAGAGCACGCGCACACACCTGCGCATCACCGCATCCACAGACTGACATCGAGGGATAAACACGATCAAACACTTCAAAATCACTTGAAGAAACACCACAGTGAGCATGTAAATCAGTTACTGATACAATCTGTTGGATTTCAATACGAATTATCCCTTATTATTAAAAGAAAAACACGATTGTCAGTGGCTTTAGTGGGTGCCTTCGTTAGCTAAGAGAACAGACACAGTTTTTTCCAGATTTTTGTATCAACTGCAGTATGGGATGTGCTATTTAAAATATATATTCTTCAAAAGGGTAAAATAGGCTACATAAAACATTACAATACGACAAAGGTGTTTTCAGTGGAAAGGCGATCCTCCATTATTGATTGGACATTGATTAAGGGTCTGGTCTAATTCCATGAAGAATGGATGAATAAGGCACGCAAAGGAAAATGTTTGCTTCTGATACTTCATGCTTCAATATTTGATCATCCTGAGTGCTTTTTATATTCAATATAAACCAGTGTTGCTTTTACAGGCCTGTTATAATCTGCCATAATGAATGAGCATCTCTCTCACCAGGCTCGTGTATCCCGGGATTGTCGCTCATCTCCAGCACGAGCAGCTCGCGACCCTCAAAGCTCTCTCCTACAGTGTAGATGCGGGTGATGGATGGACACTGCAGCCACACAGATACTAACGATTTTCTCATTTCCTCATAGCGGTGGTACTCAAAGGAAATTCCGTTTTCGCCCTCAGCCTCTTTTACCGAGGACAGTGCGAGCATCAACACAGCCCCGCAAAACACCGCCGCCCTCATCGCTCTCCAGACACTCGGCGCTTATCTGCCTGTCGCGTATTTCTCGTCTGTGTCTTTTGGTACTGATGTCCGTCCTGTTTTCTGCGCTGTCCGCTTCTTTCTCTCGTTTCTGTTCTGTGTCGTGACGTGATGCGTGCGTCTGCGCGAGTCCTGACTACCTGTTTAGCCGCAGGGGCGCGAGTGAGATTGTGCTCACATTATACAGCAGGGGCGTGGCTTATGACAAGACGAACGGGTCACATATATTTGTGAGCGATTTACATTGTCCTTACGTAAAAAATACCTTTGACAGTGACCTGAGAAGACTACCATGCATAAAAGTATTGTAGTAGGTTGATATTTAAAAAAAATGTTTAAAAGTAAAAACTACATTACCGTATACATTAACACAGCTGATTAATGTTGAATAGTTGGGTTAAAAACTACATTTAAAACATTTTGAAAAATGTATTAGTTTAAAAATTCTACAGAACGTATTTTATTATCTCATTTTATTTATTATATATTTTTAAATTATATGGTGTTTAAAATAGTGCATACATTCAAACACACACACTCATACACTACAGTCAATTTTAGTCTATACCCAGTTGACCGTACCGCATGTCTTTGGACTGTGGGGGAAACCGGAGCACCCGGAGGAAACCCACATGAACACGAGGAGAATATGCAAACACCACACAGAAACGCCAACTGATCTGAGGCTCGAAACAGCAACTTTGCTGTGAGGTGAACGTGCCACCGTGTCGCCTGTACTGTTACACAACATGTAATGGGCAAGATGAAACTAATCAACAACCTCATGAAGAGAGAGAGAGAGAGAGAGAGAGAGAGAGAGAGAGAGAGAGAGAGAGAGTGTGTGTGTGTGTGTGTGTGTGTGTATAGTGCTCAACATAAATGCGCACACCCCTTACAAGTCTTTTAAATGAATATGTTTTTTATTTGCTGCTATATAGGCTATAATAATGTGTTTTGTGCATATACATTAGTCAGTACCAAAGACAAAGCTGGAGCTAATTTAACAAAAATCTAGGATCACAATGCAAAAAGTAGACCCATATGAATATGTTGGGGAAAATATTCAATGAAATGTTTATCAGTAAAGAGAGGCTTTTTTTTGTTGCCTTTTTTCTTGCAATAACTTGTTTGAATGTGAGATGTTAGGTGACCAAATTCTTGATTTAATCGATTGAACTGTTTTGTTTCAATGCACTTAAATATATTATTTATAATCATTAAGAAATTGATCAAAATATTCATTTTCAAAAGGGAATGCACTCATTTATGCTGATATACATACAGTCAAGCCCGAAATTATTCATACCCCTAGAAAATTCGGACTTAAAGATACTTTTATTCAATCAGCAAGTTTTTTTTGTTTTGTTTTTTTTTTTTGACTGGAAATGACAGGCTTCTACGGTTCTACCAAATGATAAGACAATGTTCAATTAGGAATGAACATTTGAACAATTCTATCATTGTGGGAAAATATATATATTTATTTATTTACATTTGAACAAAAAGTGCTCATGTTCAAAATTATTCACACCCTCAATAATCAACAGAAAAAATTGTATTGTTTGTTTACAGCAATCAAACTCTTCCTATAATTGCTGACCAGCTTTTTACATGTCTCCAGTTGTATTTTTGTCTTTTCATCTTTAGAGATGAGCTCAACTATTTCCAGGGCTCAATTTGAGCCGAAACACGCCGGATCTGATCCAGCACCTCATTTTACCGATCCCCCTCCTCAACCGCCCTCCTCCCCCCTCCGCTGTTCACTTTCACTTTTTTTCTACGTCTCCCCAACCCTCTTTACTTTCGTCGCGACAAAGCCCCGCTCTTCACTTTAGTTCTACGTCCACGACACCTGAAGCATCTCCTTGCTATCACCCTGATCTTTAACTCTCTCCACAGATTCTCAATTGGGTTTAAGTCAGGACTCTGGCTGAGCCACTGCAAAGTATTAAGGATTTTGTCTGCTAACCTTTTCTATACCACCTTTGCTGTGTGTTTGGGTCATTGTCGTACTGAAATGTCCACTGGCCATGTTTCTCTGTAGGCTGTCTGATGTTGTTATTGAGAATTTTGAGGCATTGCTCCTTTTTTATGGTACCATTTACTTAGATTCCGTGGTCCACTGGCTGAAAAAACCCACCAAAATAGTTTTCATGTTTTACACCTACATGTTTGACAGTGGAGAATGCTGTTATTACACTAAAAAATCCAACTTGAAAAAAGTTAAAATTATTTGTTGTTGTTTTTTTTTTTGTTGTTGTTGGTTGGGCAAAATCTGTAAAAATGTCTGCACGACTACATTTAACACGTTTACTTAACCTAAATTAAACTTTTCTTCATTAAGTTAAAAAGATTCGTTTTGTGAGCAAAACCATGCAAGTTTACCCAAAAAAAGCTTCTGCTAACTTGTTACTTTAAGTTTAATCTCAGACCTCCTCACTTGAAAAAAAAAAGGTTGCAGTATTTCTAACCCTAACAAAAATGACAAAAAAATAACAGTAACACCATTAATAATAACAACAACCAATTGAGAAATCAAATGCTCAAATGATCGAATAATGAATCAAAATGCATTCTCAGATGAGAAATCAAATGTATTTGATATTTATATTCCATAAACAACAAAGCAAAATCCTGTAGTAATTAAATGACAAATCAAATGCTTAAACTATAATCCAGATGGAGGAACTAGTTTCACAGCTGGAAGCTTATGATGGACTGATTTCTAGGAATATAAAGACACCTCATTCACACAGACTCTTTGCTGAGTCTTGTTTTCCCTGTGAATCATTATGAAGTAGGTTTTCTTGTTTGTCCTGCCATGTTTTGATCCTTGTCTTACTGTTATTGTAAGTATTGTTATTGTAATTCTGTGTCTAATAAATGTTTTGTATAGTTGTATCTGTTTTGTTTCTGTCAATTGAACTATGTTAGTTTGTTCTGATAATGTATTATTTCTTAGTTCCAATTTCCAAAGTTTTTTTGTTCATTGAACTTAGGGTATTTTAAGTCAGTGCAACTGATGTGTTTAAAAATTGAATACACAAGAAAAAACAAAAGGAAATAAGGAGTATGTATTTTTTTTTTTTGTTCACTCAATTTCAGGCATTCCAATTCTGCACACAAAAAATGTACAGTTGGCACAACCTAAAAACTTTTGTTACAGAGTAGTTCACCTCTTTCACCAGAAAACTAATAATCTTATGTTAACCCAACTAAATGTTTTTTTGTATTACTGACAAATTATTTGAGGTCAGCGCAGCTGATGTTTTCAAAAATTGAGTGAACAAGAAAAAGTGAATGGAAATAAGGATTATGTTTTTGTTGTACTGGCTTTAAATTTTTACAGTGTACGGTTGAAGGCTTTTCCTTTTTTACGCCAAATTAAGGCTACATCATTGTGGCCAAACAATCTTTATTTCATCTGACCATAAAACAGAATACCAGAAGTCTTCTTTGTTTAAATGGGCATTTGCAAAGGCCAAGCGGACCTTTGTGTGCCTTCTCTGGGGAAGTGGTGTCCTCCTTGGTTTGTGGCAGACTAGTAAAACCCAGCGGTGTGCAGTGTCCGTTGGACTTTCTGCCTTGAGATGCTGCCATCAGCAGAGCCCAGATTCATTGGGATGGCCTTGGTGGTGATCCTTGAATTCTTTTTTCACAGTGCCAAACTTTCTTTTCCTTTTCTACTTGTTCTTTTTTTACCCCTCTCATTATCCTCCAGGCCAGGACACGTGTCCCTTTCAACTTCTGACCACACCCTTTGAGATTTTTCGCAGTGTCAAACTTTTTATAGAACTTTGGATTTACCCATAGACTGTGATCGTTTGCAAAGTTGTGAATAATTTTGGACATGCCACTTTTTGTTTAAAGATAAATAAAATCTGAGAAATATTTTTTTTCACAATGATGTCAATTCTACATTGTCTTGTCTTAGCCTGAGCCTGTGTCATTTCCAGCCCGTCGAGGCTTGTGTCAAATTCAAATAATTGATGTTTGTTACAGGACAGCCATTGGCACTGCACCTTCTCCTAAAGGCCTACATTGCCTCCAGTTGGTGAATGAGTGCCGCCTTATGGTGCATTCACAGAGAGGCTAGAAGTTGCTTTCCAGAACCTTCTCATTCAATGTTCGCTGAATTTCTCAATTGTACGTCTCTTTGAACAAAAGTGTCTGCTATATGACTAAATGTAAATGCATTTACATACACTGTTAAAACCAGAAGTTTACATACACTGTATAAAAAGACACATAACCATTTAAAAAAGATGTTAATGTGACTAAACTTTTTCTCTTTTAGGTAAGTTAGGATTATCAAATTAGTTTCTTTTACGCTTAATAGCATTAGAGCAATGAGAGACTTACTTTTTGAGAAATTGTTCGAACTTTTCTTAAAAGTCAAGTTTACATACAATAAGATTATTATGCCTCTGAAAAAAAAAAACATATGATGGTGTCAAAGTTTTGGACGTTTTTGGAAGAACATTTGAGTTAATTGGAGGCACAACTGTAAAATAGTATTTAAGGAAAACCTCAAACACACTGCTTCCTTTTGTGACAACATGGGAAAATTAACAAGCCAGAATCAACAAAAAAGTCAGATTACAATTTGCTAAACAACACTGGGAAAAAGATTAATGTTTGGAGACATGTCCTGTGGTCTGATGCAACTGTTTGGCCATAATGACCAGTGTTACATTTGGAGGACAAAGAGAAAAGCTTACAAGCCTAGGAACACCATCCCAACTGTGAAGTATGGGGGTGGTAGCATCATGTTTTGGGGCTGTTTTGCTGCAGGAGGGACATCACGAAGAACGAACATTATGTAGAATACTGAAGCAAAATCTCAATACATCAGCCAGAAAATTAAAACTTGGCCACAAATGGGTCTTCCAAACAGACCATGACCCTTAGCATACTGCCAAATTAGTTAAAATTTGCTTTAAGGACAACAGAGTGAATGATTTGGCGTGGCCATCACAAAGCCCTGATCTCAATCCTATAGAAAATTTGTGGGCAGAGTCGAAAAAGCTTGTGCGAGCAAGACAGCCTACAAATCTGACACTGTTACACCAATTCTGTCAGGACGAATAGGACAAACTTCCTTCAAACTATTGTGAGAAGCTTGT